ATCTAGCGTTCTACTTATTATGTACATTTTCGCATAATCAGAGTATGCCATGTTTGAGGCTCAAAAATATTTTATGACTTTGTTGTTTTGATAGTGTGTCAATTTATTGTGACAGTGATTGAACGTTCATATTCGAAATTGTATGATTACAAAATGCCAAACACTTTTATTAAAAGAACGCTATGATCAAAATAACGTAAATGTATGAACTTTTGTTTTACGCTATAATTTGAAAACAAATAAAAATCGGATAAGAACATATGAGTTTGTTTACATTATTTTCATATAAGTTTGTTTACATTTGCTTTATTTTCGAACATTTATTAAAAGAACGCTATGATTAAAATAACGTTAATGTATGAACTTTTGTTTTACGCTGTAACGATTTTTTTTTTGTTGTTATATTTTTATTTAATTTTCTTTCTAATTTCAATATATAATAAAAATACAATAAGTTTATTTCATTATTCATACAAATGGTTAGACATGCTGTATAGTATAAATAATTAATTTTAATTTTGACCGGTCGCTGAAGGTCGTGAAGTTTTTCTAGTGGTTTTTTTGTTAATCCCTTTCCTTGGGACCCTCTTCAGTTTAAAACGAACTATTGGCCAGTTATGACGATACTCTGTTTTGTGAGCTTTGTGAAAATTTCTTGGGAATTTTGAAGTTAATGTTCATCGTCTAAGACGGATTAAAGAGTACGTCTAACCAATTCCTTTTTGGGAAACGACTTCGTCGGATTTATGGTCCAAGCTTGTTCTATTTAATTCTTTTGTTTTTGGAGAGGAACCTCCGCATCTCAACGGAGGTAAAGTACAGTAATATTGCTCCAAGGTATGTTTTTATATGTATACCTTGTAGGTTTCAGTTTATCATTAGAAGATTCTATCGGTAATTAGAAAATTACACCCTGGTAATATACCTCCTATATTCAAGAATACCAGAGGATTTTTCGTCCACCACCAATATCACGCAGCCCGGCAACCATCTAGTTGGTGCTTCCAGCTACCAAGGTCCCTATCCAATAAGGGTAGATCAGGAAGCCCGCACGTGGAATTCTCCTATCCGCCATTTTGACGTTATTTCCGGTAGTTGGTGATTTCCTGCCGTCAAATCCCCTAACTCAGGTGACCTCCAAGCCGATGGCTTCCATATTGTATTCTCAAGTAGGTGCTGAAAAATAATACTAGTTTAAAGAAGTAATTACTGATTACTTATTAATCAACCTCATTCTACATAATTCTAAAACCATATATATATATATGTATAAACTAATAGACAAATTTTCTAGTAAACTTATTCAAATTAAAATAATATCAACAATACTTACCTGTACAACTAAACAAACTCTTCGCTAAATACACCTAGCCTCATAGTATTTCATTTTCTTGAATTTGTACCTTTGGTTTAATATATTATACCTACCGCTTCCTTTACTGATAGGTGTATTGGTGAAAAGTCTACAACCTTATATACAGGATTAAATCTGTCATAAAATTAATTTCTTGTAAAGAATACTGAGCTCAATATTTTACTAACCCGATATATTTCTTCTTCTAAGAATTATATCCTTGTTAATTTTCTAAAGCAAAACTATTATATACCTCATATCAATATTATTACTACTTTTTGGATTTTGTTGACACAATCGACACAAAGCGATATTAGCGAAATATAGTTTATTTTAATCATATATTGTATTGATTTTATTTATAACCCAAATTAACCCAGCTCTTAGATATTTTAGTATTTGCAATATCTTAAGTTCTCATAACTGGCGTGGTATAAACGTTTCTTAGGCCCGTTATTTCCAATGCGAGTAAACTTTCGTGTTAGAAAACCTAGGATTAACTTAAATTCGAAGTTAACTTGAAGTTATGTTTTTATGGATTTTTCCAAAGATTTTGCTACCCGAGTTTAGTAACTCTAAATTAAGAAGTTTATCTTTATGTTGGTATCCGTGATTCTATTATTAATATATGGATTTTATTTTAAATTTTTGAAACCATCTATGGACAGACCGTTAGAGTGAGTTTTTAAAGGTGTCTACGCAGTGCGTTGTTTATTGGGTTGGATTAGATAGTTTGGGTAAAGTATTATCAGCTAAAATGAGTGAGATTGAGAAAAAAGAGTCCAGATCGAGACCAACCAATTTTAGTAAAACAGAAGATCAGTTGCTGCTTAATCTGGTTTTGAACGATAAGCACGAGCCCTGTTCGATTATTACGAGATAAAAAGGTCTAATAAATAAGTATAAAAAACATCGAAAGTCAAAATAATGTCAAACAGGAACAGTATATGACAAACTGGGGGATGTCCGGTACAATTTAAGATACGGACAAAATAGACAAAACATTGGAAGAAATATTAGGTGATCAAATATATGGTTTAACTTCCCTTTTCGATTGCGATCAAGATGAGTCAGTCCTCATGAAGAACATGGAAAATGAACTTACTAATTTGTCGATAGCGATGGGATGGTCAACACAGATTGGAGGGCAGGAGAAGCCAACAACTGGACAGAATACACCCCCAAAATGTTGAAAGAACCAGTTAACAGTAAATTAATAGAACAGGGAAAAGAAGACGAGGACAAGCATTTAAATAACTACTTTTTGAACAATTAACTCAAGAAAAACTAAGTTTTCTTGGGTTTCATAGGGAAAAGTTAACAGAAGAACATGAATTAAAAATAAAAATTTTACAAAAAAGATGGAGATATTAATGAAGGAAAATTAATTATTGTTAGATCATTTATTATTGTTTGTCGTTACTATTTTTTATGTCTTTATTTAGAATTATAATGTGTTCCTAATAAACCAACATTTAGTTAAGTTAATTCACAATATCCAGGTTAACTTGTACCTGAGCTTCGAGTTAATTGAAACGCGAGTTAACTCACAAATTAGACTAATACAGATATTGAAATATAGATTTTCAAATTTAACTTTAAGTTTAGATGTAACTCGCACTTAACTCGCAATGGAAATAACGGGCCTTAGTAATTAATGGCTCAGTGACAACTGATTATTAGTTTAAAGTACTCATTATAATAATAATAATATAGCTTCAAAATTAATCGATGTTTTTTTGATTTTCGTATTCCCGTCTCAAAGATATGATCTCTAAAATTTATAATGAGCCTTAATTCTAATTCCTGGATCTGAACGCGCGAATTCGCAAGCATTAACACAAAATATCTTTTAACTAAAATAATCTTGTCAACAAATTTTCTTAAATGATATGGCCTACGTCGTGCCGCTGAATTACTTTTAGTAAATTTTGTGGACCATATTTACATAAATACTAATACTAATTGAAAACCATGTTGATATAAACTTTCAAACATTTAAAATGTTCTTTTACCTTTTAAAGATTTTAAATGTTCAGAAGAGTTTGAAGTTGCCACACACAGGTTGTGTGTTGGCAAAATTTTTCCATATGATACCGCTCGATATAGACAAACTTATGTTATACAAATATTTTTTCTTACTACCTCGACTCAAAATACGTTGTTTCGTCCCCGATTCCACGGCAGAAAGATTACGTTTTATGCATTGGTCAAGCTATACGCTCACACTCTAATAGCGGGAGTAAAAATTTTTTAGTCGTGTGCTTAACATTCAAATTTCGTACTGCCAACATGAGAAACACAAAAATATGACAGTTTTAAACCATAATTTTGCAATTATAACAACAAATAAACAATTTATGTTTTTACTTTTTTACTTTTTATGTTGTTTTAAGTGTTTAATGGTACTTTTATTTGTTATAAAGTAGTAATTTGTTAATTAAAATACAACGTTTTATTTTTACTGTATTGGTACCGCTGAATTCACGGCCTACTGTTATTTATTTATCAAGCTCTTCAAATGGAGATAGGTACATAAATACACATTTAATTTTTTCCCGTATTTTCGGCGGGGTTGTATTTTCGGCCGAGGTAGTAAGAAAAATAGTATACACTACACGGGCAGAAAGTGTGAGAGCCCTGAACTGCGCGCGCAGTGCAGGATTCTCACACTTTCTGTCCTTGTAGTGTAATATACTATTATGTCTGTGCTTAACATTTGTAAATCAATTTAAGGAAGTTCTGTCAAAGTATTTTAAAAGTCTGTGAAGTAGTTGTTCTATATAAATATTTTATTAAAAGGCGCAAATGTAGTTTATTTATTGCATTCCTGTGATTACAGTTCTTTCACCATCAATAGCAAATGTTCGTCAAATCCATTTTTTGCTGCAAAAACTGTATCATATTTTTGGAAATTGTCTTTGTTGTGCCACATGGAATGGTTATATAATTAAAATATTTAGAACCAGCTTCTAAAACAATCACAATGCTGTTGTAAGCGGGTATTTTCGCCTGTCAAGATACATCGATGGTATAAAGACTTTGTCTAGCTTTCCCTGAATTCTGTTTTGTGCTATTTTTCTCACTCTTCCTATCTTACTTTTATCTATTATATTTTTTTACCAGTTATTTTTTTTAAATACAGCAGATGCAATAATAGCAGCAGATCTATAAGAAATACCCGTTTGATCGCACGCTTGTGCGAGACTTGGTAATTTTATACGCATTTGTTTAGAACTTGGTATTTGTAACTTGTAAGCTAGCGTCCTGCTTTGCATTAGAACCGTCATCATTATCATCTATCTTTCTACTACCTGGTGGTTTCTTATCCAACACATTGAACGTAGAAATTAAAGGTAGCGATCTTGTTTCAAGTCTTGGTGTTTTGGTGGCTATACAATATATATGTATATATTTATATAATAATAATATATAATTATGGTTTCCGAACGTTTTACTGCCAGTTTTGCGGACATCAGTCTAACGTTAAATTACTTTACCATTGTTTGTCAAGCATTCTCTTAAACAAAGGAGTTGCACCTAGTAATATGGTCAATAATAAATGGTAAGATACTTAGTCTCAATCATTTTAAATGGAATTTGTTTGATATTAGACTCCTGAAATAATTCTTTCTATATTCCATAGGTGTTGTTCTTTTGTCGGAAAGAGAGGTAACGGTGGTCAAGCAATAAGTATTGGAAAAAATTGCGATAAATTTGGAATTGTTGTCCATGAATTGGGTCACGTAGTAGGATTTTGGCACGAACACACCCGACCTGATAGAGATAAACATGTGGAAATACTCCGTGACAACATAATGAATGGTAAACTTTTAATAATAAAAAATCTTTTAAGCTTACATATTTTGTTTAGGCCAAGAATATAATTTTAATAAATTAACAGATGACGAAGTAAATTCATTGGGGCTTACTTACGATTACGATTCCATAATGCATTATGCACGAAGTACCTTTTCAAAAGGCACATTTTTGGATACAATTCAACCAATCGATGTCCCAGGAAAAAAGAAGCCCGAAATTGGACAAAGGGTAAGGTTGAGTCAAGGAGATATCGCTCAAACCAATATATTATATAAATGCCCAAGTAAGTCTTTACTTAATATTTTTAATATAATAATTAATAAACCTACCAATTCAGAATGTGGAGAAACTTTTCAAATGAATACAGGAAAATTTTCACCCCAGGAAAACGCTGCTAAATGTGAATGGAGAATAACCGCCACTCATGGAGAAAAAATTCTTTTAAACATAAGCGATTTAAATATTGCAAAGTCACATGATTGCAGAACAGAATACGTGGAAGTGAGAGATGGCTATTGGCATAAATCCCCTATTTTAGGAGTGTTTTGCAAAGGGAAATTTCATCAAATCATGTCTAGAGGAAGTAGGATGCTTGTCAAATATGTTTCAAGTTATCCCAAAGAAAAACCTGGATTTAAGGCAAGCTTTGAAGGTAAAAGCATAAATTTATTTTTTAAAACATTTTATTTATTTTGTCGAATTTTTGTAAAACATTAAATGTTTAGATAAAACTGTCAAATAAATTAGAAAATGTTATTTAAATTTAATTTTTTTTACATTTAAAAAAGATGCAATTGCAAAAGTAGAGTAACTTAAATGAGATGTAAATAACAACACAAGTTTTTTGAAATAATAAAATTAATACATTATTTTTTTGTTGCATTATGTTTTGTCAAAATTGGTATTTAGCGCCTCCAATACAAGGGGGTTTGTTACAAAACCCGAAAAATTTGAGTTCATGTTTTTACAATATGTAATCTACGCTTCACATACGACTTGGAAATAACTCTACATTGATGTAGAGTTTATCCAAGTCGTGAATCCAAGCGTGGATTACATATAACATTGTAAAAACATAAACTTAAAGTTTTCGGTTTTTCAACATACACTCTTCTTGTATTAGGAAAGCGATTTGTCAATTTTCTTTGTTCATTTAGGTACGCCAATGTTACATTTAAGGTTAAGGTAAAAATAGTATATTATGTATCAAGTTTGATAAACGCCATTTTGGTCACGAATTTTACGAGGGAGTTTGCGGGAGAGTGTTTAATAAAATGAGTTTCTGGAAAAGTTTACAAACGAGTTTTATACTATACTTTTTCTACGACAAATATTATTAGGTACAAAAAATAATTAAATATTTGTTTAGAGCGACATCTATTTAAAAATAGAGTAACCTGTGAATCTGTTTTACCGGCTTTTAAAATGGCAGTGTTTATTTTTAAATTTTTCAATATTCTTTAAAATGGACTAACAACCGTTTAAATCCGATATAGAAGCAGTTTTTACAGTGAAAGCGTAGAGGATGTGTTATGCTTTGTCGGCAAATACAAGTCTACCGCCGCGCCGACGAAATCAAAAGGTCAGTACAAATTTGTATTCAGTGTATCACGGTCGATGGTAGGTTAGACGTTTATGGAGAACGGCAAAATTTATTGAATTGAAATTTTTATAGTAATTATAGTATCATTTAAACTATTTTTCTAAATTATTTTGAACAAAATTCCTCTTCCGGTTTAAAAGGAAGCGATATCAACTTTGTTATTTTAAATGGATCACCACAATTTTTATTACAATTTTAAATTCTTACCATCATTCCTTATAAAATGGCTATATGATCCCCTATACCTAAACTTAATAGTTTTTAAATAATTTTTTTTTTGTAAAATTTATTCAGTTTCACCCACAACAAAAAAAGTTTATAACTTTTTTAATATTAGGTTTGTTGAGATTTATTGAAATCCTAAAGCACTGTTTTAAAGATTCCATATAAATTATTGTAATATTTCTAAAAAGATACTTAAAAAAAACAATGTGAATGTAGCTAACTTAAAACAGCAATAACTTTTTTATTGTCAATGGAATGTTTATTTTAAATAATTAAATATAAAATTATAATACCTTTTCATTCATATAACTATTCCCTAAACCTATAGTTAATATTAAGAGATATTTTACAAATACCCTAATAATATGAAGAAAAACTGATAAAATGTTGCTCATGTGTATTAATTTGGTATGAATAAAAAAACTTTCCCGATATTTATTATTATTAAAATAAAGGAAGATAACTACTCAAAAGAAGTTGATAAAAATATTTATTCTTAATAATAACCAAATTATAGGTACAACAAAAAGTTTCTGCATGTTCTAACAATAAGTTTGTCATGAAGAATAAACAATTTCATCAAAACTTCATGTGCATAGTGATCCATTTTATTTTATTAACAATTTTTGTTAATCTAAAACATTATTTTTATTTTATTAATGAATTTTTAACCTTATTAGTAAATAATAATATACCACTATATAATATACTACATACAGGGTCCTGCAACAGTGCGTCGGGCTTTCCTAGTGCCTTTACAGTGAGGGATAGAAAAAAAAGTTTCCTACAAAAAATTGTTGGTTTGAAAATCTTTATGCCGAGAAATTATTTTCAACAATACAGGGTGTTCCATTTTTGCGGTATAACAAAAACATACATTTTTTTAAATGGAACACACTGTATTTATTTAAGTTTTCCGATAACATCTTTCAACCTCTACATTGTTGTCCATTTACTTTTTGATTTAAATACAGTGTTGTTAACTTTTTTTTCAAAAAATCTTGCAAAAGCAAGCTGAACTTTAAAGAATCGTAGCGACCTTAGTTTTTAAAGGTAAGAATAAGTTTTAGCAACAATCCCAGTGCAGTTAATAAGCATCATTTTGATTATGAGCAATTTAAATTTAGTAATACAGGGTGTTCAGAAATAAATGCCAAACTTTGCAAACTTCAGAGTGGTTTAACTAATTTTTTTCAAATGGAGTGCCCCATATTTTATGTCATCATTCGATAGGTCTTTTTCTCCTCTTTAATGTGATATGCCATATCTTATTTGTAAACCTCATAGTTGTTGAGATATTCAATATTTTTCACAAAAGTAACCATTTAATTAAATTTCTATGCACTGAAGTAGGCCGTGCTGAAGCAAAATGTAAGTAATTGTCAATGTAATAATTGATAAAATTTTCTTATGTTAAAACTCGAAATGTTAATTAGTAAAGACCAGATTTTAGGTAAAATACCTTTCGTCAATTTTAATGGGACATTAAAAATTCTTCATGCAAAATAAGTTTTGGACATTTTTAGTGAAGTTTAATCCAAAATCATTTTTGCCTTGTTTGCCTCTCTTAAAATGCCCAAATGTCCGGTCTCTATTAATTAGTTTGTATTAAATATTAAAAACTGACCCTGTAAAAAAACTTTGCTGTTTTTGTATCATAAAAGTGCTTCTCTCTGTTTTGTCGTAAAAGTAGACCGCAACTTATTAACATGAATTTTGAAAAAGACGAACTAGTCGATATGATTTTTGTATTGGGGGAGACTGATCGAACTTGTTTATTGGCGGCTAGAATTTACGCGATGCGTTATCCAGAAAAAAGACACCCGGATGAGAAAAGCTTCAGGAAACTACTCAATAGATTTATTGAAACGCGAAGTGTACATTATAAAAAACAAGAAAGAACAAAACCTGTTGTCAATGAGGAAAACGAATTTTCAGTGCTATTAACAGCAACTGAGCATCCCAACATTAGCCAAAAAGACATCGGTGAAGAAACCGGCATAACCGAGAGATCAGTACAACGGATTCTAAAGAAGAATCGATATCATGCGTACCATATTCAGTTGCATCAAGAACTTAGCAATGCTGATTTTCAATATCGTTCCGAATTTTGCACCTGGGCAAGGCTGAAAATACAGGAAGATCCTTTTCAGTATGTTTTATTCACTGATGAGGCGACATTTCATAAAAGCGGATCTGTAAACAGGCACAATTTTCATTATTATTCAACTGAAAATCCGCATGTTATGAAACAAGTTGATCATCAGCATCGATGGTCTTTGAATGTCTGGGGAGGAATTGTTGGTGGATATGTGGTAGGTCCACATTTCTTCGATGGTCATCTGAATGGGCCTCTGTATTTGAATTTTTTGGAAAATGTTTTACCTGGATTATTAGCTAATGTACCTCAACATACAAGAAACAGGATGTGGTTTCAACAAGACCTGCGCATTTTTCGCGAGACGTGAGGGCATATCTTGATGGCATTTTCCCCAACCAGTGGATTGGTAGAAATGGACCCTCCAGATGGCCTGCTAGATCTCCGGATCTGACAATACCTGATTTTTTCTTGTGGGGGTATGTAAAGGGAATTGTTTTTTAACGAACCACCTACCACACTTATGAATATGCAACAACGGAATGTAAACACTTTTGCGTTAGGAAGAGTGAAAAGGTCTTTTCAGCATCGAAATAATTTGTGCCTGAATGAAAATGGAAGACATTTTGAACAATTACTATAGTAACGTTTTTACTATGTATTTTCAATTTTTTTACCTTGCATGGTTTTTGAATAAAATAATTAATCTTATTATTATTATTATTATTAGTATTATTTGTTATTAGAAGTCATTTTGACTCTTACATTTTGACAGTTGTTTTGTCCCAACACTTTCTACTTAAAAATGTAATGAAATGGTTACTTTTGCGAAAAATATTGAATATCTCAACAACTATGAGGTTTACAAATAAGATATGGCATATCACATTAAAGAGGAGAAAAAGACCTATCGAATGATGACATAAAATATGGGGCACTCCATTTGAAAAAAATTAGTTAAACCACTCTGAAGTTTGCAAAGTTTGGCATTTATTTCTGAACACCCTGTATTACTAAATTTAAATTGCTCATAATCAAAATGATGCTTATTAACTGCACTGGGATTGTTGCTAAAACTTATTCTTACCTTTAAAAACTGAGGTCGCTACGATTCTTTAAAGTTCAGCTTGCTTTTGCAAGATTTTTTGGAAAAAAAGTTGTAAGTTGACAACACTGTATTTAAATCAAAAAGTAAATGGATAACAATGTAGAGGTTGAAAGATGTTATCGGAAAACTTAAATAAATACAGTGTGTTCCATTTAAAAAAATGTATGTTTTTGTTATACCGCAAAAATGGAACACCCTGTATTGTTGAAAATAATTTCTCGGCATAAAGATTTTCAAACCAACAATTTTTTGTAGGAAACTTTTTTTTCTATCCCTCACTGTAAAGGCACTAGGAAAGCCCGACGCACTGTTGCAGGACCCTGTATACTTTGAATATTAATAAAGGTACTGGGCGTTCAATCAAACCGTTTATACACATACCTACATAGCGAAATATTTATATAAATATTTTTGTTTCGGTGATTTTATGTAGAAACACCTGGAAAAAATATATTGTTCTTATATATTATTAATATATTATTTTCTTGTCATATGAATACATACAGTTTTTGAAACTCATTCACGAATCTATGAGTAGATTCCACTTGAAATATTAAGTAATAATCCTATAGAAATTGTAAAATATCTTTGTTATTATTATCTTTAGGTATAGGGAAT